AGTGTCGTTTGCATACATACCCACTTGGGAACTGATGACATCGGGAAGATCGTTAATGAAGATAAGGAACAAAGTAGGGCCCAGGATAGAGCCTTAGGGAATACCTGCGTTTGTGAGAAAGGAACTGAAGGAGAATCCGTTAAGGACGACTTTCATTACACGGTTTGACAGGAATGATTGTATTAAGTCAAATAATCGTCCTGTAATACCGTATCACTGAAGCTTACGAAGAAGGCCAGCATGCCTAACCCTATCAAACGCTTTTATATATATATATATATATATATATATATATATATATATATATATATATATATATATATATATCTAGAGCCAGGGCACGAGCTTCTTCGTTATTGTCAAGTGTTTCGCAAACAAAATCAGTTATGGCCGTGAGCTCATCAGCTGTAGAATAGGTTAGTTTTTTACCAAGACCTTAAGCTTCACTCGTCCAAAGCCAGTTTAACCATTGTTCTTAGAAAGCGGTTGTATACAGCTGACAGTTTAGATATTTCTGAACGGCTTTCCTTGCGAAAGTCTCGATCATACGAGGCTATTTCTCTACATGACTCGAGTTTTCAGGTTAATGTTTTGGCTTTTGTAACAAAGTGTAGTATTGGGTGGAACCACTTTTAGCGCAGCCTATTCTATGTCCACTTTCCTTATCTCCTATACTAAATTTGTTGTAACTGAACCATATGCTGAGGTATATGAAATGTTTAGTACCTACCTAACAAGCTCAGATAAATGAATGGCGGGACAAGATTTAAGAGAGATGAGAAAACGTCCACATTTATTAAGCGCTACAAATGACAGGAAATTGTGGAGAGCCATGATCGCCAACATGCTGGAGGGACACGGCACTTAGAAAAAGATGATGTAAGTATTCGGCCTTTATATTTACTATATACGAGGTTATTTCTCTAACTGACTCGAGTTTTCAGGTTAATGTTTTGACTTTGTAACAACGTGTAGTAGTGGATGAAACTACTCCTAGCGCAGACTATTCTATGTTCAGTTTCTTTATCTCCTATGTACTAAATTTGTTGTAACTGAACCATATGAAGTGTTTAGTACCTACCTAACGAATTCTAGTAAATGGATGGTGGAACAAGGTTTAGGAGAGATAAGAAAACGTCCACATTTATTAAGCGCTACAAATGACAGGAAATTGGGGAGAGCCATGATCGTCAACATCCTGGAGGGAGACCGCACTTAGAAGAATATGATGTACGTATTCGGCCTTTATATTTCATATATTTTTATACTTAATACACCCGTATATTGCGTATAAATACACCCGTATATTGCGTATACGGTTGAAAGTGAAAATATACTGCTATGCAACGAACAAATATAACTGACTTTGTAAAAAGAGTCTAGTTAATTTATTTTGGCATAAAACTGGGGGGGGGACTAAGATAAATCGTAGGTCCCACATGAAGCCTGCAGTATAAGCATTGAAAGAATACGACATTAGACTAAGGGTTCGGGTTCAAAAGTAGCTTTTGAAGTACCCAGGGTACTTCAAAAGTAGCTTTTGAAGTACCCAGGGTAAGTTTATGATTTCATAAAACTACGTAACTTAATCACTTGCATGCTGTAACTTATGGGCACGTGGCCGAGTGGTTAGAACGTTCGCATTCTGACCATGAGACCCGGGTTCGAATTTCACCATGGTCGATTTGTCTGGTGTTATCGGAAAGTGCCTGAAAACCATACCACGTGTTGACCCAAGCATTGTGAGTGAAATTGGGTAGATGCTGACCTTATCTGTGCTAGCACGAAGTCACAAGTCATCGTGACTGAGGGCTTGAGCGTGCTGGTCTTGTTCAAATTGTTCATCACGCTAGATAACAACTACAACTAAGGTCTGCTCAGCATAGTTGCAGTATAAACCACAGATGGGTTCTATGGGTGTTGAATAAACACAAATGCGCCTGAGCAAGCGTCTGCAATAACCTCACTAGTAGACAGATATTCTCGAATACGAGTGACCATATATATATATATATATATATATCAGAAAAAGGCTTAAACACTAATATTCCATGGTCATAATTTATTCCATTGGAATCGTAAATATGATCCAATTCATCAGACCTAAAAATTCAAAAAGAAAACAGAAAAAACAACTCCGGGAATAAAAAATAAAATTTAGTGAGAGTGTATGTATGAGAGTGTGGGAAATAAAAGCTATAGAAAGGGGAAACAGACGAGAGAAGAACAGGAAGGTCTAAAGATGAAGGTAGGGATTAAAATTTAACAGAGAGAAGTTTTAAAGAGGGGAGTCAAAGACGGTTTATGTGAGAGAAATATGAATATTCTCGGATGTCTAATACATTAAAGATACACCGGAAAAGAGTATACATTTTGTGGTGACAAACACACACAATAGACGATATAATCTTAAAGATCAGAAGATGAGAGAGGGAGAGGAAAAGAAAAGAAAAAGGGGTGGGAGGGAGAGAGATGGGGTGGGGGAGAGAGATGGGGTGCGGGGAACTAAAACCGAAGGGCATTTATAAAAGGGCCGCTGTGTAACCACTAATATTATATATATATATATATGTACTGTAACTTACTTAGATGTAATTGTAACTTAGGTACTGTTGTATAAGAGTTAAATGTCGTTGCCGGCACTGTAGTTTGAAACTAGATCGCCAGTGAATAACACGGGCGATTCCATTATTAAGTAGATCACGTGATCATGAAAGAAGTGAATAAATAGTAAATAGTGTCTTGACTAAGCGGTTACTATTCCTCCCCTATCAATTATACGGATCACTGTTCACTTTTCTTGTCTATTCACTATTGCTACACGGTTCACTCTTTGTACTCTACTACTATACGGATTATGATTCTCTTCTGATCATTATACTATTTGGCAATTACTACTTGAACAAGTATTACTAGTGCAGATATATTATTGGAAGGCGTTACAACAAGTACCGGCGTCTACGAAGTCTCGAATATAAAAAGCGTTTTTTGAAGTGATAACGAGCTTTTGCTTGACATAGAAAAAGTGACAAGCGAAGCCGTCCAAAATCACAAAAGCTACATAAACAAAAATTTACAAAAATCTAAAATATTGTATATTAGCTTAAAAGCCTCCCTATTAGATGACATTTAATCTTGTTAACAAAAGACGGTAGGTCATTTTTTTAGGTCAGCTGATAATTTGACCTGATCGAACTGATCAGTCAGTTCTTAGAGTCGAGCAGCCACAATATCTGCACACATGGTTTGATTATAGTGATGAAAAAATCCGCAGAACCACTTTTTTCAGAAAAACTGAATAGAGAGAATTGGTGCACTCGGTGTGGATATTAGGGTCAGTTAGGCACAGTCTGTGAGAAAAAGAACACCATGACGCAATTCACTCCGCCAGAAATTTGGAAACGGTATTCTGTACTGCTTGGCATTCACGCCGGAAGCTTCATCACGAACATTTCAGAGTGTTTGGGTGTCAATTTGAGGACAGTGCTGAGGATAAATAAAGAGTTGGATGATATATCCAGTCAACATCATGGTGTTTGGAGTGGTCACTAGTGATGGGTACGTTATGTCCCCATTTATCTTCCCACAGGGTCTCAAAATCAACACTGAAGCTTACATTGTGCCTTCAGGGGGTAGTGCTGCCCTGGGTCAAGTGGGTGGTTGCTGGAGGACCCTATGTCTGGCAACAGGACTCTGCACAAGCAGGGGAACCCAGTAATTGCTGTCAGACAATTTTTGCAACCACAGCACCCTTTACAACTGGCAACCTAACTCACCAGACTGCAACCCCCTTGATTATCATGTGTGGGGCGCAGTTGATCGAGAGACCAACAAAACTCCTTGTCACACCAAAGATGAACTGAAGGCAACGATTATGGTAGCATTGACCAACTGTCCAGAAGAGTTGCAGGAAATTCCGAAGGCGTCTGGAGGCCGTGGTTGAAGCCAATGCCGATTTTATTGAATAAGATATATTTTTGTGTAATTTTAAAATAACACTGACATCTCATTTTAACAGATATATTTATCTGTTAAAATGAGATGTCAGTGTTATTTTCATTTTTAGACAATTTACCCATCGCACACTATATATATATATATATATATATATTATGAAATGAAAAAAGTCCGACAATTATTTTAAGACATTTTTACGTTTATACATTCTTTTTATAGATACAAACATTTAAGTAAATGCTCTGCTTATAATAAACAATTTTAAACAACATTTACCGACCTGAATGTCCGAGAAATTTTCATAGAAAATATTCGTCCTCCGACGGGATTCGAATCTGTATCCTATACAGAACCGTCATTTAGCTTGACGTGCCTTAATCGATTCGGCTACAGAGGAGCGTTCGGTTAGCAAGGTCGAATTTATTGTCTTTAAACTTTAATCTTCCATGAATCTCTCACGTCCATTCATATCTGTTCAATCTCTCTCTCTCTTTATATATATATATATATATATATATATATATATGATTATGATTATATAACCGGTTGTTGGTAGATTAATCTTAGTATTAAGTATGGATTTTATAAAAGTTGGTGATTTACTCAAGTGTGTTTGGTATGGGGTTATTGATGGGAAGATATTTATCAAGATTCCTTCTACGTAATAAATTGTGATCTTTTCTTATCAGGGAGGCATTTATTAAGTCGAAGTGATATATATATATATATATATATATATATATATGTCTCCATTGACAAACCTATTATTATTGTGAAAAAGCCCTTTCGAAGATCTTTTTCCCATTTTGTCACTTAATTATCCACTATTATTTTTATTAGAAAGACATTTTTTCACGAAGTAAAGAGAAAGACGAAAGAATTTGATGGATGCCATTGCATCTGTGTGGAAGACGAAATGATAAATAACCTGATTATGTTGGTGTCAACGGAAGGCCGCATTAAAATAGGTCATAATTTCATGTGCATACGGCGAGATGTTGTAGTTCCCGTTATTTGGATGTCAGATCAAACAAGGCATCGGTATGAGTAAAGAGGCTGCACCAAGGCTGTTCAAGACAATTCATTACTTAGCACCTACCTACCTTCCTCACTATCTATCTATCTATCTATCTATCTATCTATCTATCTATCTATCTATCTATCTAAATCTGTTCATATTCATATCTTCATCTGTTCATATCTATCTAAATCTGTTCCTATTCATATCTCCATCTATCTATCTATCTATCTATCTATCTATCTATCTATCTATCTATCTATCTATCTCAGTTTCTTCATTATCTATCTATCTATCTATCTATCTATCTATCTATCTATCTATCTATCTATCTATCTCAGTCTCTTCATTATCTATCTATCTATCTATCTATCTATCTATCTCAGTCTCTTCATTATCTATCTATTATCTATCTATCTATCTATCTATCTATCTATCTATCTAAATCTGTTCATATTCATATCTTCATCTGTTCATATCTATCTAAATCTGTTCCTATTCATATCTCCATCTATCTATCTATTCATCTATTCATCTATCTATCTATCTATCTATCTATCTATCTCAGTTTCTTCATTATCTATCTATCTATCATATCTATCTATCTATCTATCTATCTATCTATCTCAGTCTCTTCATTATCTATCTATCTATCTATCTATCTATCTATCTATCTATCTATCTATCTATCTATCTATCTCAGTCTCTTCATTATCTATCTATCTATCTATCTATCTATCTATCTATCTATCTATCTATCTATCTATCTATCTAAATCTGTTCATATTCATGTCTCCATCTGTCCATATGTATCGCGCGCGCTCTCTATCTATCTAAATCTGTTCATATTCATATCTCCATCTGTTCATATCTATCTATCTATCTATCTATCTATCTATCTATCTATCTATCTATCTATCTGTTATGGGGTCCTCCCCTTTTCATATAAGTGGACTCTACCAATGTTACTTGGAGTGCTGTCGTTAAATACCTAGAGTTAGACAGTCAGTGGGAGAGGATATACGGCGAGAGAGAGAGAGAGAGAGAGAGAGAGAGAGAGAGAGAGAGAGAGAGAGAGAGAGAATATAGGAACGGAGATAGTGTGAGGTAACCTCTTGTAGAAGTCAGTTACAAGCACGTAGACTCTAAGGAAGTCCTACTTCGAGACTGTATATATCTATCTGTATTTGCTACTAACCGGGTTCCTGGACTTACTAACAGTATTACTCTTTGTATGATTGTGTAAATACATTTTATTTCTTATATTTAATTATTGCGTTTGTCATTCCTTGGAGACCGAATTCATCTCGGAATCCACAACACTATATAAATCTGTTCATATTCATATCTCCATCTGTTCATATATATCTATCTATCTATCTATCTATCTATCTATCTATCTATCTATCTATCTATCTATCTATCTATCTAAATCTGTTCATAATCTGCTCTGTAAAGCACTGACTCTCAAGGGGATGTTTCCCCGATCTTTACAATCTTAACCTGTTCAAGTCGGGGGTTAACCGTTATCTTTCCTTCCTAACCGTATAAATTAAAAAGTCGAATGTCTACATCAGATGTTAAAAGAAAGAAAGAAATAAAATGAAAAATCGACGCGCCTAATGTCATCTAAGGACGAACGTCGAAGAATTTGTTATGGTAACTCATTTGATTTGGTTTCCTTGGTTCCGTTCAGGGTTAAGACCTGCCATGCAACGCACATTGTAGCGAACAACCCACATTCCCTTCGTATTCCATCGGTGAAAAGTAAGTTTCAATAGAACAGCTTCTTCCCGTAAAGCACTGCTCTGTGGAACAGACTCCCAAGAGGATATTTCCCCGATCACTACAATCTTAACCTGATATCTTCCACTCTTATTTGCACAAATTGTTTCCTAACGTAACCCTCTACCCCGAGTGCCCACCAGGCCTTGTAAAGGGTGAACCTTACTGTAAAAAGAAGAAAAAGAAAAAGACATTAAAAATTAGCAATTATGTTGGCGATACACAAGTGTGTACTACAGCGCCACCTGACGACGTTTTGGCGAATCTTGCGAAGCCATGTGGAAATAACCCACAGGAAAAGAAAGAAAAAAAAAAAAAAAAACTATTTCAAGAATATTGCAAAAACAAAAATATATTAGTTAAGATATTTATTTACTTAATTTTCTTACATTAATTTAACTTCCTTGGCAGTCAAAATTTTCTTTTTTCTTTATTCTTATACAATTGTTGTAACAGCAGATAGGATATGCAAAAACTGGAGATCGCAGACGACAGGGATTTCAACCGCATTAATCATGCAATATTAATGCGCAGATGTTTAGGAGTCGTGCACTTGTAAAATCTAAACTGAAAAAAAAAAAAAAATACAAAAAATTAACCAATGAATAAATGGAGTCTTTATATCTATCTAGTATATATATGTACTTTTTTTTTCTAAAGAATTAATGCATCTTATTTTTCAACCGGCATATTTTTATTACTACAAACACGGATATTCACTAAAAATAACGTTTGATGTAATATATAAAACAAACAAAAATCCTTAGAATGTGATTATGTTGTTTTAATATGAATGAAATGTCGACGTCTGACGTTTCGGTTTAATAACCTTCTTCAGGACAATATTCTTTAAAAATACAATTAACATAATCAGTATAACTCGACGAAAACGATGGACATGAAAACAAGTCTTATCTAAAACAGATGAATGAAAATTCTGTCGGATTTATATCCATTTATATTTGCTTATCATATATATATATATATATATATATATATATATATATATATATATATATATATATATATATATATAGAGAGAGAGAGAGAGAGAGATTTCACAGCAGCCCGGATAATTAAATTTGGGGAATAAAAATCCAACAAAATGATAATATTGGCAATAAGATTGAGGATATTTAGTATATATTATCCTTTTGACAATTGAAGCATGTAGAGAACGATTTTAAAGACGTATATATATATATATATATATATATATATATATATATATATATATATTATCAATTTGTGACTGGTAGGGAGAGCTCAATATAAATATAAATTACAGAGCATAATAATAATAAATCATGAAAAAACCATAAAGATCCATTTCGGTTATAATTTATTTCGTGAATAGTTTTATATTCATATCTTCTGGCTGAAAGTTCTTAATAACATTTTAATATTTTATTTAAGATTTTTATTATTTTATTTAAGTCTTTATTAAGAAATTTCGGTCTGAAGAGATGAATATAAAAATATTCACGAAATGAATTATAACCGAAATGGATCTTTAAGGTTTTTTCTTGATTTCCACACAGTAAAATATTTAACAGAAACACATTAAAACTAAGTTATAGCTGCACCAATAACTTAGAGAAAATTATAAAAAACATGGTAAGAAAATACTAACAAATGTAACTGCAGAAATTCTAACGATTGCCCACTGTAAAACAAATGTCTGACCAACTCTCTTGTTTACCTAAGTACTATATATATATATATATATATATATATATATATATATATATATATATTATAATTTTAAAAAAAATATGATTCCTTCGCTACATAAGAGTTCTCATGTTTCAAAAACGAGAGCTGAAACCCTCAATATAATTAAAAATTATATTATTAAATATATTATTAAATAATTATTATTATAATTTAAGCTCTGCTTCTGTATGGAGCACTGTTTTTTGTTTTAAATAAAACAAAAATAATAAAGAACTCCGGATTATTTACCTAACGTTTTCTTTCCGATTTTTCTACATACCTGCACCCCCCACACACACAGAGACACACACACATATATATATATATGAAAAATTTCACTGAGTTAACTTGTAGAAAAAGACAATATTTATAAATTTAAAAGACAATAGGAAAACTAATTTTTTTTACCTTTTTGCCTTGAAAAAGTCCACATCGGATGAAACGCGTCAGCTAATATTACAGTTTTCCTACTGTCTTTTACACACACACACACACACACACACACACACACACACACACACACAACACATATATATATATATATATATATATATATATATATTTACCAGAAAAGGATTGATTTTTAACATTAATCCGGTAGATTTTTATCATTTAAACGTTATTTTTAGTCGATACTCGGATTTAAGTAGACGTTTTGTTTATTTATTAAACAGTATATTTATTTTCATGTAATGAATGTCCGGGAAATATTATTAAAGGAAGCAATATGCATTATCCGGTAGGATTCGAAGCAAGCGTTCTCCTTAGGTAAACCCTCACTAGATCTGACGTGCTTTGACCACTCGGGTACAGCATGTATCGATGACTGACCAAGAAAAGCTGAATAGTGGTAAATTCGAACCCTGCTGGAGAGCGCATATTTTCTCCAGTAAGATTTCTCGAATATTCAGGCCGGCAGACGAAATTAAATAATTATACTGTTTAATAAATAAACGGAATGTCTACTCAGGTACTGTTGTAACCTAGGGAAGGTTACTGAATAGAATAATCAAACGAAGGTTGGTAATGAACGGTAATACTTAGGACAAGAACAACACATATAAGATTCGTCAGTGGTGTGTAGAAGAAGTATTCAACTGTTAGAAGTGAGTCAAGTGAATTCCACAATGAATCTCCATCTGCAGGATATCTACCAACCGCCCCATGCGGTCAGATGTGGCATAAGGCCAAATTTAATGTGGGGTATCCAAGCCCGTAGGCTCGGCTAGAAATTCTCCGTAGACCCTGTATAGAACGAGGTCAAGTAACTGTTTCCCAAGATGAGACTCTGCCCTTCGACATAGCCTCGTCTGGAGATCCTCTCTGCCTGGAGGGAGAGTTGGACCAGCACAGCTGGAGCCGAATCTCCAACTGCAGGATATCTACCAACCCCCCCACGCGATCAGATGTGGGACAAGGCCAAATTTAATATGGGGCATCCGAACCCGTAGGCTCGGCCAAAAATTCCCCGTAGACCTCGTATAAAACGGGGTTAGGTAGTTGTTTCCCCGAGATGAGACTCTACCCTTCGTCTGGGGATCCTTTTTGCATTTGAAAGTGAAATCCCCGTTTAAATGAATAAAAAATAAATTTGCCTTAAAATTGGTATATATCCAGTGAAAACTGTAAAGGTTGATTTGTTAATGATGTTATTTAAAATTTAATGGTCTGACGAAAGAAAAATAGTAACAGTCTGGAAATAATTTAAGAATAAAATATAGAAATCGATAGTAAAGAGTCGCTTACGTCATCAATAAAACCGACAAATGGATCCAGATTTGTTCCTCTTCCGAGTGTCAGGGAACAGTCCAGTCTTTTGATGTCCGCTATTTGATAAAAATAAAAAAAATAAAAACTTAAACTTTTGCTTACATTTTTATGCTAAAGTTCACACAACATTAGCCGCGAGTGTCACTCAAGAGAGAGCACTGTTAAAGGAAACAAAAAAAAAGACCTCTATACTTAAAATCAGAAAGAGACAGTTGAAATTTCTGGAACACTTGAGGAAAGAAGACTTGGAAAATTTGATACACATAGGCAAGAAGGGACAGATGATAATGCCAAGTAATCTACCTACCAAGTTTGTGTAAATGGATGAGGGAACAGGGATTGGGGGGGGGATAGTACAAAGACAAACATTGCTAAAAGTTACAAATGATAGGAAAGCCATGATCCCCAAGTCCTGAGGGGAAACAGTACATAGAATAATAATAATTATACAATAGTTAAATGATAATATCTATCTATCTATCTATCTATCTATCTATCTATCTATATGTGTGGATATATATATATATATATATATATATATATATATATATATATATATATATATATATATATATATATATATACTATTTACATTATTCGGACTATTCTCATCTTTTTCGCGATATTTATTACAACGTTTCGGCCGTTGTAGGCTCCGGCCTTCTTCAAGGACACATGGCACAGTGGATAAAGGCGTTGGTTAGATCCAGTGACAGGACCCAAAGAGTGTGAGTTCAATACCTGGTTAAGGCGGTAGAGAGGTTGGAGAGGGGAATTAACAGAAGATAACTGATTACTGATATCCATTAGACATGGCACGTGGAACTAGAACAGTCTACCCCAGTGAGCGAAATAAAGGCTTCAGTTCGACATTCCAACCACCCGAAGAAGGCCGGAGCGTACAACGGCCGAAACGTTTTAATAAATATGGCGACAAAGATGAGGACAATAGTCCGAATAATGTAAATAGAGTACATAATACCTCATCTCAGAAATATAAAGATATGTATATATATATATATATATATATATATATATATATATATATATGTGTGTGTGTGTGTGTGTGTATGTGTGTATGTATGTGTGTATGTGTGTGCATTTGTGCTTGTCTACACATCACGAAAGTTCAATATGCAACTATCAATATAAGACAAATGTTCGTGAATATTAAATATATTAAAATGAAAAAT